CCATACACATGGAATATGGTCAACCTCTTTCGTTTGGTTGTCACGTGACTGACCGAGCGTACGTATGTATGTACGAGCCTTCAGATTGCACGGGTAGGGTAGGGGAGACTATCAAAACGAAGGGAGGGGTTTCTCAGGCAAGTCTTGGCAAATGCACATCTTTTATGTTATCACGAACTTGGGAGCTCCGCGTTTAGGCTTGGCTAAATCCATAAATTACTGCTCCCACGCTCCAATGTTAGGCGCAGTATTTGGAGATTTTACAAAATTTAAATTGTAGGTGTTTAGACTGGCGCCACTTTAGGTATGATAGGGCTTCCAATCATAGTTTTGGGTAGTTGCAATGCTATTCATCAGGTCGTTTTCTAATTGTGTTTCTGGTTTCACTTTTATTTTGTTGCGGCTCCTCGTAAACCTGATTTCAGTTCACAATTTTCACGATTAAAAACCGCATTACATTGCACAAACACCGGGTATCAGATCATGATCAGATGCTGGCAAAGTGACTCGGATGCAAAACCAACATTCACTGTATTAAGAAACCTGCAGAAAGAAAAGAAAGTCTTACATTAGATGAGGATTTATTTACCCTCAGCAGTGTTTCAAGCGAAAAGGCTAATGGGACTGACTTACTTAGGGTGAATAATGACTCAAAGGAAACATAAAAAAGTTACAAACCCCGTCTTGTGAGAAGCAGACGTGCTTGATAGTCAAAAGCTTGCCAATTCAACGCTTTGTTATGCCGTCTCGTCCGAGTTTTCTTAGCTTTCTCCAAAAGCTAATATTCCTCCCTGTATCTTCATCCTCATTACCTGAAATGGAGTTTTGCCACGTTCTTCTTCAGTAGAACAGGCTGCCCTATTATCCCCAGGTCATGGTGTTTCCGCGACTCATACAACTTCACACGCAAAACTTAATGAGTAAATAAAAAACTTTTATATTCATGCTGTTCAACCCTGAAGAAATAAATTTTGAAAACAAATTGTCACCTTGTTTTCTGGGAATTGTTATATGATCTCAGTTATATGCGTTATTGACCAAGCGTAAAGGTCAAGATTGCAAAATAAGAACTTGGCTTGTATCCAGCCATCTTGACCGTACGCTTGGTCAATACAGGATTTATTATACAGCAAAAAGATTTCCCTTTAATGAGAATCAGGTATGAATTTTTTATTTCGAAGGCCAGGAAAAGAGACCAGGAAAGAAAGCCAGCTGTGTTTGTAGCACAATAAACCCAAGAGGGTCGTTTAACCTTTTTTTTTTTTTTTTTCCACTGTCCTCTGCCGCTTTTGGCGACCTCGTTGCCGACATTGTCCAAAAGTTACGAACTTTGTAACTCCGCTCCACGCACTTTTTCTCTCGCGCGGGATCAAAACAGGCAATTCCGAGCGAGCAAGACAAGCTTATCTTACCTGCTCGGGTAGTCAATAAGTACACAGGATTCGCCTCATCTTGCCCGAGGGCGCTGTCAACTATATAATAAAGTTAGTTAAAAGCAAATTTTTCCTCGGACTCCAAATTGCCAGTAATTCATCATAATACTATGTAAGAAAATAATTTGATATCGCCATTGATATCACCCTCTCAAGAAAATTGTTACTTCCTTTGCAGAAAATCATCAATATGAAAATTTACGACAAGCAGTTCTACGCAAACGTCGAGGATTTAGTCGTGTAGACATGAAGTCATCAATTTACCAATAATTCTGTCGCTTTAAGTTTTCAGTTACATAACTTGTGTCAACTCTTTAATCAAGGACCCCCCTAGGAAGGGAACTTGTTGACAACTTTCGAAGTCCAGTTTTTCACACCGCACTTATCCAAAAGTTAAAAATTATCAAATTATTCACATCGACTTAATCAGCATTTATTAAGCATAATTTCTACACAATATGGAAGCTACAATTGATAGTTCTTCAATAACAGCGTGACAGAAACACATTTCAGCAGAACGTTCCAAAGAAAGTCACGAGGTTATAACATAGTTAATAGAGGGTTCCCCTCTATTAACTACGGTGATAACAAGCCGGGAACGACTTTGTCTCTCCATAGATGGATCGCAAAATGGAAAAATAAGGGTAACTGTCTCGCACTGACTAGAACTGTCTGCAGTAGATATAAAACGCAATTATTATAGCTGCAGTTAGTAAATGTAAATATCAAAACAGCTTCCAGTATATATATATGTGAATAAAGTTAAGCGGCTAAGAGGCTACAAGATCACATTGACTTAATCAGCATTTATTAAGCATAATTTCTACACAATATGGAAGCTACAATTGATAGTTCTTCAATATCAACGTGACAAAAAGCCATTTCAGCAGGAAGTTGCGAAGAGAGTCACGAGATTATAACGAGCCGGGCACGACGTTCTCTCTCCATAGATGGATCGTAAAATAGAAAGATAAGGGTAACGGTCTCGCACTGACTAGAACTGTCTGCAGTAGAAATAAACTATTTACATTTACTAACTACAGCTATAATAATTTCGTTTAAAACGCAATTATCATTATAGCTGTAGTTAGTAAATGCAAATATCAAAACAGCTTCCAGTATATATATGAATAAAGTTAAGTAGATAAGAGGCTACAACATCTGGCGAGTAATTCCGGAGTAAGAAGCACGATCTGAACAACAAGTGATCACAGATTCGGATTTTCATTCAATCCTTTTCCTGTTCTTTCAAAAGCAAGCCGCAGGTGACGTTACCTTGAATAAATTGGAGCTCAACACCTGAGGCCAATGAAATGTCATGAAGTGGGAGAGAATGATCCATTTGTCTAGTAAGCTTCACAGTTAGGTTTAAGCTTTCTACTAAATCTGATACACACAAGGATCGCATAAGGAAACGTACGTCATCTTTGAATGATCAAAGCTCTCCAGATCACGTTTCGCCAAAAGTATTACAGATCTATTATCTGCCGGTAAATGTCTTGAGAACAATGGGCACTCTACGCGATTTCTCACTCGAGGTAGCATGTACTCCAAAGGCTCTTTGTAGTTGGTTCAATGCCACGCAGTTTAAAGGTAATAAAAAACGACTAACGTAGCTAAAATGTAGCTGTAAATCTACTAAAATCTAAATTTTTCGCAACTTTCCTTAAAATTAACTACAACTCTTAAGCATAAATCCCATTTAACATCTTTTTTACGATCATATTCCTTACAATTAGGAACTCGTTTAGAAACAGTAAGTCGTTTACCATTATCTGAAATGGGTCCGCAATGCGCACATGTGTGGCTAACGAAATTGAGCTGCTTTCTTGTGTCTGATGTCTTGTTGAGTTTCTAATAGAAGAGCTGTCGGAAACAGGATAATTAGTATTGTAAAGAGTCAAATATTATCTGCCGGAAATCGAGTGTCAAGATCTGTCCGCTCTGATAGATCAGTTTGTTTATCTTTGTTGGGAAGAACTGTATAGCCAATCAACTTACGCTTTTATCAAGGTGTGTTCAATGATGAGATAAGAAAATCATTGTGAGTAGTTTTTAGTCGGTCAGAGACTTCACGTAACGTTGCTCTGCCTGCTTTTCTGAGCAATAAATTCTGGAAGAACACAGTGACAGTGTGGGCTCCTAACTAATCCCCCACAGAGCTAATATCTGATTACGATGAGATAGTTTTCAATATTGTTCCTGTTCATCGTGAAATAAGAAAACTGGCATAGAATAGTCCTGAAATGTTCATTTTCAAGATGAGGGTCAATGAACAAACTTCGTTATGGAGGCCTTACTTTGAAGTTATATGTGCAACAAAGCTTGCACATGTAACTTAAAGATTTTCGGAACTCAAAAATGCATCAGCATCACCTCGCATGGCGGCCTTATAGATTCAGTCATGATTTTGTTTACGTAACGAAGTGGAATTGAGTTCTGAAGTTTGTAGGTTGATTGTCTTTTCCAAGGCAAGTGATGTGAAATGAATTCTTGGAAAGCATTTCATACAAATATTCTTGGCAGAACTTGCCAGAAGGGCCAAAATGTTTGGGAAATGATGAAATCTACACTAGAAGCCATTGGGAGCTTGATTTGGTTTGAATGTGTGACTAATTTTCGACAATGCTACATGTAACACAATGCTGAGTACATATGATGCCATCCTCGGAGACCCAGGAGCTGCGTCGATTTCAAGTTAGGGCATGAAGAGCCCCTGGGGACATTGTCTTACAAGACTAGTTCCAAACGGTCGCAGTCGTTCTGCCATCTGATTGGTGCCACAAAATCTTTGTGTTTTTCTGCACAATCAGAGTGAAGTGTGCTTTAAAGTCCTTTCGTGTGTTTTAACACGGACATATACTAGTAGCTCAGTTGCTCTCTATGTTTGTTTGGACCGTGCGACGGAGATTTGCTTGAGGTGAAAAGTTTCAGTCCTAGCACACAATGTAAGAGAAATCGATCAGATTGTCCGCGAAAAACTTACCGGAAATTGTACTGAATACTTTCGCAGGTATCACTAGAGAACGTGTTTTAAAGTTTGCGAGGTTTGTATACACCACGATGGTTGCAGTCATTGATATGTCGCTTTAAACGTTAAAGGAGATTGAAGCTTAAATTTTTCTAGAATTTTTTGCATAATTTGCTGTGACTGAAACTTTGCCAATCCCGTGAAGTTATTTCGTCGCACGGGCCACGCAAGTATGTCGAGCAACTGGCGCTTTCGCCTACGTAGCTTTCTGCTTTCTGTACGCGCCAAAATCTAATCTTAGTAGTAAAGTCCTTCACAATACGGCCAAGGTTGTAGAGAACGTTAAGTTCGTGGACGACCTCCAGCAAGTCCTAAGAGAAAGCTTAGCTGTATTTCCGGTTAGCTAATTAAAATCTGAACAAAAACTGTTTAACGAGAACATCGTGAGAAAGAGAGATGTTTTCGGGCAGTTACCGAAGGGGTTTGGAAAGAGTTTAATCTTTCAACTGCTGCCTCGAGTGTTGAAATTCTTGAGCTAGGAAGGCCACGGATTCTCCTCTAGTCCCTTTGATCATTGGGAATCGATCCGANATTAGGGGTGTAACGATTAATCGAATTCTCGATTAATCGCGATTATGACCGTTCGGTTCGATTCACGATTATTTGATTCCACGTTTCGATTTTGGTTCGATTTTTTGCATACCTTTCCAAAAGTGCCCTCAGTGAGTCATTATATTGTAAACTTAGAATCCAGATCTCAATAAGATGTTCGTTTTTCATTGACAATCGATCAAAGACGCTAATTTGCAGTTCTTGCGCCATGTTGCTTGGTAAAAATCCCGGGGTAAAAATGTTGCCCCTCTACCACCCCCTGAGAATTTCCAAATAAGGCAAACCATGTGCGTGCTCACAAACATGGCGGACAACACGGCGACGAATGGCCAAGCGATTGTGAATCCGCCTGCTTCTTTTCGATCCGCAGTGTGGAAATATTATGGTTTTCCGACTAAAGACGGAACAACAGACAAGTCTAAAACTATCTGCAAAATTTGCTTCGCAACTTTCAAGTATTGTGCCGGTTCGACTTCAAGCATGAGCGCTCACTTAAAAAGTCAACACAGTATTGATGAAAAGTCAGAAGTGTTGCAGTCAAAGACGGCAAAAACTTCACCGGGTACCAAAAACAGTACTGGAACAGGACAGTCAAAAATTCAGGATGTTATGAAGAATAAGTTGCCGCGGTCGGGCAACAGAGCAACGGCAATAACGAAGTCTATTGGAGTTTTCATTGCAAAGGACATGAGGCCCTATTCAGTTGTGGAAAATAAAGGGTTTCAACACATGATCAACGTTCTGGAGCCAAGGTATGACTTACCAAGCAGAGTTCATTTTTCTGAGAAGGTGATACCTAAACTTTACGAAGAAGTCAAAGCAGAAGTCGAATCAGACCTTAAAAGTGCCGAGTTCGTGGCTTTAACAAGTGATGGATGGACATCTAGATCAACCGAAAGCTACATAACAGTTACCGCACATTTCATCCAAGAATGGAACATTAAAAACTATGTTTTGCAAACAAGAAGAATGGATGTGTCACATACATCGGAAAACTTATCAAATATACTGACTTCAGCTATATCTGAGTGGAATTTACAAAGATATGAACAGAATCCATCTCTGACATCTGACAATGCCAGCAATATAGTGAATGCTGCAAAGCAAGCTGAACTTTCACCACATGTTGGATGTGTGGCCCATACAATCAATCTGGCAACCCAAAAAGGACTTAAGGTATCTCAAATGGACAGGCTTCTTGGAAGGATAAGGCGCATAGCAAGCTTTTTCCATAGGAGCACAACAGCTATGGCAGTTTTGAAATCAAAACAAGCTTTATTGGAATTGCCACAACACAAGTTGATAAATGATGTACCAACTAGGTGGAACTCCTCATATGACATGGTGCAGCGGTTTTTAGAGCAACAGGCAGCAATTGAAGCTGTCCTCTTGACAAAGGATGTCAAGAAAAATGCCAAAGATGTTCATTTCCTGTCAGAAAATGATATCTCTGCAGCAGAGAGTGTCATCAATGTACTGGGACCAATCAAGACCATTACTACTATCCTTTGTGATGAGAAGACGCCTACAGTATCCATGATTCACCCTCTGAAGGAGATGCTGATTCAGCAGTTGAAAGTTTCAGATGATGACATTATGCTTGTTAAAGAAGTAAAAACAGCTATAGCAAAGGATTTGGATGCTAGGTTTGGAAACAACTGTTTGTCTAGTATGTCTACAGATTAAATAATAATTATTATATCCAAATTATAAAGAGTCTTCCCAATAAAGGTTTTTGTTAGAGCTTTCTGTCGCAAATAAACATGCTGCAGTGCTATTTGAGTTGCAAAATGTAGTTTACAAATTGTTCTCATATTCTAGATATACAGACCTTGACACATTGCAGTTTCTGAAGGAGAGTTCCTGTTTAGATCCAAGGTTTAGATCCATGCCATATCTTGATGAAACCGAGAAACTAGATGTCTACACTGCACTTACCTTGAAAGCAGTCTCACTGAATGAGCAACAACAAAATTCAGTTCAGGTTCGTAAAAATTGGAAATTTTTAACAGCCAACATTTACTGCTTGTACTGACGGTACTGAGTTGAGTTACAAACATATTAAATGATAATAGAGTGTTTTTCTGTTCATAGGTGAAGACTGAAGCAGACCAGCCTAGTGCGCAGGGACAGCCACAGCTGCCCAATTTGCCAAGTCTACCAACTCTGGAGGGTGAACATTCAAATTCCAGTGGAGACACAACTGTTGTCCTCACAAGTGATCCCCCACCAGAAAAGAAAAGGAAATCTGCCTTGGATGATCTTTTTGGAGATGTTTTTATAACTAAAGTTCATCCTGGGAAGTCAGTGTTTCAGTTAGTTGAGTCAGAGTTGGCTAATTACAAAGTTGAAGAAACCATGCCTTTGAACTCTAATCCATTGTTGTGGTGGGAAGCAAATGAGCTGAAATATCCCATTTTGTCAAAGTTGGCCAAAAAATATCTATGTGTCCCTGCCACATCAGTGGCCAGTGAGAGGGTTTTCTCTTCTGCAGGGGACATTGTGTCTGCTCAGAGGTCATGTTTGCATAGTGATCATGTAGACAAGTTACTTTTTTTACAGAAAAATATGAGAGTGCACTAGATCTAGATTCTAGAAAGAACTCAAAAAAGAACACTGACAAATTGCATGTTTTTTATTTGTTATTGCATCCTTGAAATAGATTAATAATGTTCCTGTTACTATTGTATCCTCACATTGAGAGTTTAGGGTTGTATGTTGTTACATTGTGTATCATCTTGCAAGAATTAAAAATCATTAATATTTTGCATAATCGAATCGAAATAATCGAAACCGAAAGGCAATAATCGAAATCGAATCGAATCGAAAGAAACATGAATCGTTACACCCCTACTTAACATGCTATCAAAATTTGTCGGGTAAACTCATCGACTTGACAAGATCGTCGATACTGTCCATCTTCACTGTTTTCAAAAGATTTTATAGAAAAATTCACTGCTTGACGAGTGAATTCCACGTTAAATTTCACGCGGAAAACCGATATCGCACGAATCGCGAAGCGATGAGTGCGATAGCGGTTATAACTTACACAAGCTGCAGTTATAATACAAGCCGGATCTGGGTGCACAAGTTATAACACAAGTTATAACACAAGTTATAACTTGCAGAAGCTGCAGTTATAACACAAGCCGGATCTGGGTGCTATGGCTTGTGTGAGAATTAACTCGTCAAACGATCACCTGAAAAAAAATTACTCGAGACCACGCTTACAATCAAGATGGCTAACTCAGACTAATAAGGCGTCCGACACTAGACCACGTGACATGCGTTTGACTCTCGTCGACAAATAAATAAATAATTAAATAAATAAATCCGATCGAGCTATAGTGTGACTACACATTTTGTGTAAGCCACACAAAAACACTTTTACAGTAATTGAACGCAATAAATCGAGGAAAGCTCTCTGATATGTTCAATGTGCTGTGCAAGCTCCTATAAAGACGTTCTAAAAACAGTAACATACTCAGACTTTCATTAACATATGATTTGAAAAAACAGTAGCGGTTCCGCTAGAATATCTAATCTAATTTTTTATACACTAACCAGTTAATAAAGGGGCAACTGTAAGCTTGCTGATCAATTTAAACCACCTGTGCATACAAAACTGCTGAACGACACTCTACTCTTCCAAATTACGCAAAAGTGATTTACTGTCAAGCTTAGAAAACCATGAACATCAAGAAAAATGTAAGTGTGCCGTCATATTATAACATTTATAGGATTATCAAGCTGAGAGCCACATCGATGAGTTGGTGGTTCTCTTGTATTCTAGCGCTTCTAGATCTCCTAAGTTACTAACATTGTGAACGTTCCCGCAGAATCAATGGTGTTCCCTGTTTTCTAAGTTTGAGGAATGATCACAGATAGTACACAAGCTTCTAAAAAGAAAAAGAATCTAAATTGTTTCCTGATCCTTGATTCTTTCTTTAAAGAAAAAGAACCCGGTATCAAAAAGGTATTTTTCGTACGTTGCTACATGGAATATGCTTATGTTCACATATTCACGAAACTAGTTTTGCAAATTTCTACATTAACAGCATCCCCACCACTAACGCGTGGCAGTGTTTCCCTGCGAATGGTACTGTCCGGTCCACCAACTCCAACAGAAAGAAGCTCACCGGGTTTAGGTGTCTGCCAGCAATACAAAGAAGAACAAGTTGTGGTTGAACGAACAAGACAATTTTAGACATTCTTCTGACAGCAGGTCATCAACAAACATGAATAAATACATAAATTTGGAGTAAATCTTAACAAAACTGTGACCTTTCAAATGATGTAGATGACAGTAAGCTACAGACTCAGCGAGTGCCTAGGCTTGTTATCAAGTTTGACCATATTTACCCACAAAAACGGCACCAAAGCTATGTTTTCCATCATAACACAGACAAAAGCAAATGTTTAACTGCCTAAATCTCCTTATCATTCCATTCATTGCCAAATGGCATGGAGGAATTATTTTTCTGGTCCGTCCTTTTTCTTTAACAGAATAAGTGGAATTTATCGTTTGGGGTGGTTAGTGTGGTTTTTTTCCTTAGTTTGACTTAAGGCTCTCTGGATTGCTGAATGACTGATTTCTTTTGTGACATTGCACTCGAATTGCTCATTGCCTCACTACTGAAGGAAATAACAAGGTCGCTATCGTTGCAGTTTGGTTGGAGACTGGATCAAATCAGGAAAGTCCATGAGTTTTGTTAAGGGTAGTTAGCCCTTTCCTAATATGGTTTGCGTGAATAATGAAGCACGAATTTTCTCAAAGTTTCCTCGAAAATGTTCGGGAGGAACGATTTTTCTTTCAAATTTTTGAGGCTCTCTAACGTCCCCAGGGAATTGACCCGTGAAATTTGGAGTTTAAAGCAATAGCGGTCTCGTAAATTGTCCAATCTATCGCGCAAATTTCGATTCGAAAACTTACCTTCTTGGTTTGATCGACAACTACAATTTGTGGTAGTGGATCTCCTGTTTCACTTGCAACTTTAGAAGTCGCTGGAGGCAAAGACGATAGACTGGACGCTCGATGGTTGGAGGTGAAATGCAACATTGTACAATGGTTTGGTCTAAGATAAGAATTTTTGAGATATCACAGTTAAAAAAAAAACTTTTCATTTGCATTGAAAATGAATTTAAAAATCCTCGTCTGAAAATACACCTACATGAACATTGTGAAGAAAATTAATAAAAAGAACAAAGCGGGGAAAAAAAATATATGCTTAAAGTGCTACTGAGACCAAATTTAGCGTTTGCCAGATTTTTCACTTTTTAGAATCGTTACCGGCTACTTACCACTCTCACGAAATCTGGAATGAAAATTCGAAGTGGAATTGTTTTTTTTTTAGACTTGTTTTCCTCGATTCAACGTCCGCCATTACTCAAACTGCGAAATGACCGCGTGTTAGTCCGTGACGTCATATTATCCCTTTAAATGAATAAAGGCTGATAGTTTCAAAAGAAACTGTTTGGGGCTGCGTCGGTGGGGGTAACGAAATAATTTGAAAATATCAACAAAGTTGAAATGATAAATTGGCCACCGTTACGATTATAGAAGCTGACGTTTCGAGCGTTAGCCCTTCGTCGGAGCGAATAGGGGAATTGTGGGTTTTGTGTGCTTTCCAAGGCAGAAAAAGGAGCTAAGTGATTGGTGGGAACATGGCAATGCGAAAAACACGAATAAATTAGTGAATTTACCTAACCATTCTAAGCAACACATGGTAATCTGCGGTCTTTCCTTACACTTAGGTAGCACGGAAAGTCGGAAAACTATTGAACTAAGGCTCATCTTTCAAACCGGCAGTCTAAATCCCACAGGTATCAACGAACGCTTTTCATTCCACTAATTTATTCGTGTTTTTCTCGTTGCCATGTTCCCACCAATCACGTAGCTCCTTTTTTTGCCTTTAAAAGCACACACAACCTACAATTCCCCTATTCGCTCCGACAAAGGGCTAACGCTCGAAACGTCAGCTTTTATAATCGTAACGGTGGCCAATTTACCATTTCAACTTTGTTGATATATTCAAATTATCCCCTTAAACTTTTGCGCAGGCTCAAAAAACAAGAAACAGACAGAGATTGTTGTACTTGAATAGTTTTAGGAGAGTCTAATCGTCGTTTTGAGGCCGGAAATGGCACCCTAGAGTTGTTATGCAGGATTGAGCAATTATTCTCCAATATGAATGCTGAAATATGGCTACATAGGCCAAACGAAATAGTTACGAAAGCCATTGGATGGCATTCGTACGCCTGCATTGCTCAAACCTCCAGCCGAAAGGAGTATCGACGTAGATTAGGCATGAAAAAGGATTGCCCGGGTGCCCTTCCTAGAATATGGAAAACACTTTTCAGCGGGCCATGTCTTCAAGAAGTCGCCAAAGGGCGAGTGTTGTTAGATCGTGATCGTTCCGTTCGTTCTCACCTCACGTTTCCTAGACCTCGAGAACATGCAGCGATTGAACTTTCCGTGAGTTAAAGTTGTTTTGATTTTCTTTGTTATCTATTTATTTATTTTCTAAGACTCAGAATCCGCCTTGTAAGATTTGTGCACAAAAAAATTTGTTCTGCTGGAATAAAGTCCTACTTTTCCTTTTAAAAATTGCTTTCAATCCATGAATATCAGTAGCTCTATATTACTGCAGGATTACGAAAAATTGCCTACATTCCTAACTTAACTAGGCCTGGCAAAAGCCATGGAGAAGGCCTCTGCAGTTGAGAAGACAAGCTTTCTGTCGGGCTACCATTCTGTGGTTAACCAATTTGCCCCAAAGATGTAGACCAGCTCATATCTATACTCTGCAGATTTACGAAATTTCATATGAAGCAAAGTACAGGCAGTTTATTTCACTGTATATGAACAGCAACGCACCAGGTACTATTTTGTTTAAAACAGAATACTTTCATGAACTAAAAAAATTATCAGGAGTAATTATATTTTTGGGTGCAGGTCAACGTTCTTCCTCCATGATATGCATAGCATAGCCACACTAATATTTCAAAAGTGAAAAGTTAGAACATGTACATTTATTTACTTATCCTGTTTTCTAATTCTTGGTTCTAGAAACAATTTGGTAGTAAATTACTTATCACTGGCAGCTTGAAGGGAAACAAAGGTGGAAAATCACGGCCAGCCACATCTTTGGGTAGCCTGCCCAAAGTACAAGGATGTAAAGGAAGTGTCATGACAGGCCAGGGTAGCACTAAATTATAATGAAGTTTTGCTCATTGCATAGATCAAGCAGATGCATACCAACTTACACAAATGCTTCCCTGTAAAAACAAATGTGCATCATGTGTGATCAGACTCCTTTTTGTTTTCTCATTTCATTATCTTGATACATTCTCTAATTGATAACCATATCAACAGAAGATATTAAAAAAAGGGGCCAATGAGCTTAAGAAATAGTACACCAGGTGCATTACACCTGATGCTTGACAAGGGGTCAGAAGAGCAAGCTACACAAAAGTTTTGATGA